TTAACTAGTCATTCAGTGGATAGGCAGTGGAAATAGACTGGACTCCTCGATGTGGTTCCAAACGTTGCTGGCTTTTTTCAGCCTTAAAATCAATTGCCCAAAGACATTCAAACATCTTTGGTGTGTTCCATACATACCAAATACACTAGGTGTGCAGCAGCACATTACAAATGCTGAAGGGAAATGGGGTGTGTGTGTGTGCGTGTCCCCACTCCCACCTCAGAAAAAGAGATGGTGTGCCCTCCACTCTACCAGTCAATCCATATACATCATTTTGTTTAAAGTTTACAACAACCGTAACAGGTAGATATTACAGGGTTTTTGCCATTTTTACTGGCGTGCAAACTGAAGAACAAAGAAGTTGGGGATTTATCCCAGGTAAGAGGTGGAGTGAGGAATAAAACAGGAGTTGTGCTTCATTCCAAAGCCTAAAAACATTTTCCACTGCACCCACTACAATGCTAGAATGGGATGACTAAGACATATTTTGTATTACTCTAAAATAATTCTAATTTAGGGTGCTAAATTGACAAGAGTTCTTTAAGCAAGATGTATTAATACTTTCTTTTCCTAATAAAAACAGCGTACCATTACTTACATTGTTCCGAATGGTTCTAAACAGAGTTCATCATTTCTTTACTTTTCTCCTTTTCTCTGATAAATACATTCTTTGAAATAATCAATCCACTTCCTTTTGAATAAGGAGAGAATGGGCTAGAATTTAGGGTGGTACTTGGAACTCGTCAATGTACGCCCTGTTACTATTGGGAGGCGCACACACACACACAAAGGGACAGGTTTTCCAGAATCTTTAAGTTGACCCTTAAATATTTAACAGGGAAAGAGTCTCATTATTGAAAATATTTTGCCTAGACTACTAATTAAAAGACAAAGCACTGACTCTGAGGTTTCTTTTTATAGTACTGACATTATGCTGTCCATAATGAAACAAAAGAAATGAAAGTTAAAATAAGCAGTGTTTCAAGTTGATTTTTTTTTTTATTTTTTTTTTTTAAAAACTTAACTTCTGAGGCATGAGACAATGAAATAAGATTTAGAGGGAAATAAGGTGTACCGTGGTTCTTAAACAATTAGGGGCAGTTCCTTTGAGAATTTGGTGAACACTAAGAACTCTCTTTTGGAAAAATATACAGTCACATTTTATATTCAGTGCATTTGTTAGTCCCTGAAACTCACTCATAGACCTGACTTGGAGGCTTTGATGTAGTCCTGAAGACCTTGAAAAACAAACAAAAATATGTCCAGAAAGAAGGGCAAATGTGACATAATTTATCAAAATAACTTTGTGTCTCTATTAATCTGTGATTCCAATGGCTCAGTTTTTAATGTCGCTCTAAAATCCTTGCCCCAAGAATCTTGTTTCCTATTTGAGATCTTAATAAAAATTCCTGGAGTATTAATGGCCTGAAGACTTCTGCTTTTCTCTTGTAAGAAAAGCCAGGGAACCAAAACCACAGGATTGGAAATGTTTGTATTAACTCCAGAATTTCTATAGTCCAGCATTTCCCAAATATTACTGTGCACACACATCATCTGGGGATCTTCTTAAAATGAACTGTCTGGTTCAGAAGATCTGGGGATAGGATCCAGGATTCTGCAAATTCCCAGGTGATGTTGATGCTGTTAGTCTATGGGGCACACTTACTATTAATAGTAAGACTGGGAGTGGACCCAGTTCTTTATCTTTACTGAAAAGTACTTTAGAGAAGCCTGTCCCATCCTCCTCTCTTACATATCTTGAACTGCCCCAACTTACCACTCAACCAGACCCCAAACCTATACAAAGAGGAAGATGTCACCAGGTTTAGGTAGAGAGAGGAAACTGACTTTTTGCCTTAGGATAAGACCAACAATGATCTGAGTTTTGTATTAAATAGTTCTCTATCTACTTCTGTGGTACTTAACGTCTTGTTTTTGTTCAGTAACTCAGTCATGTCCGACTCTTTGCGACCCCATGGACTCCAGCACACCAGACTTCCTTGCCGTTCGCCATCTCCCAGAGCTTGCCCAAACTCATGTCCAGAGAGTCGGTGATGCCAACCAATCATCTCGTCTTCTGTCTTCCCCTTCTCCTGCCTTCAATGTTTCCCAGCATCGGGGTCTTTTCTAATGAGTTAACAGGGTGGCCAAAGTGTTGAAGCTTCATCTTTAGCATCAGTCCTTCCAATGAATATTCAGGGTTGATTTCCTTTAGGAATGACTTGATCTGAGATGGATTATAAGTAATGTATATGAATGGTTTATCTCTTTAAATGAGAGAAGACTTAAGATTTTCCCTTTAAAATCATTGCTTTCAAGAGAAGAGATGGAATCAGAGTTAACAAGTACAGAAAATCACACTATCACAATTTAATAATTGATGCCACGCCCATGCATTAATTGTATCATCAATGTGTGTGCTCGAGTTAAGAACCACCACTCTCCTTTATAGATACCACTGCCATCCTTTGAATCTTCAAAATATGAATGAGTCAAAAATAAGCAAAGCCACTGATCAGAAAGATAGATTTATTTCTGAGCCAGAGAGTAACTTTCTGTATGTTAGCAACTGGTGAAAAATTTGTAGCAACTGGAGTTATTAATTACATTTTAAATTAAGAAAAGTTTAGTAATAGTTCCTAAAATGGGGGTTGAACTGACAATGTTGAAAAATTGTGGAAACTGATTTAGCATTTAATAAATATACCTAACGGCACTTGCCCAATCCAAGAATATGTCACTTCGTGTTCAAGAGAATGAAAGTCTTGACTTTCAATAAATGTTCTCATAAAAAAGTATAAGGATTGTATTCAGTTTATTTTTAATAATATAACTACGTCTTTCACTATCTACTTTATGGAAGTTAGGTGAAACAAAATTTGTTTTGACTAATTGCTTAAAGAAAATAACATGACCATGCAAAGTGATAGTCCAAACTCAGCACAGAATAAAATATGTGTCATCTAACATTTTCAGCTTGTTTTGTTTGTTTTTTGGCCATACCACGTGGCTTGTGGGATCTTAAGTTACCTGACCAGGGATCAAACCCACATCCTTGACAGTGAAAGTCATGGGTCCTAACCATTGGACCATCAGGGAATTCCCAGCTTGTTTTCTGTTTTAACTAGAGTATTTACCTGAAAAGCGTGGCATTGTTTCTTTTAGAAATATTCACTTCCCCTGTCTACTTGCACCAAAAATGATTCCACAGTCAGAACTCTCAGCCAGAAAGTTAGCAGGCTTGAGACTCCAGGCACAAAAATCTACTGATGGAAGACAACCGAAGTATTAAAAACTGTGGAAGAACAAATGTGGAATCACAAATAATTTTCAATTTACTTCAGTGTTTTCCTTACCATTGTTATATTCTCTTATTTATTTCAATTTTTATTGTAAATTATGGAACTTTTCAAAATGTCAGATGCCCAGATATCCACTATCTAGTTTCAACAGACATTAACTTTTGCAAGTTTGGGCCATTTATGGCAGCATTCTGTTACTCCTTGGTTTATTGTGATATTATGTGTTTGTCTCAGGGAAAATTGTTTGTTTGCCACAAATTGAAGTCTAAATGACAATCCTTTTTCTGTGGGCTTAAGATAGTTTTTGTTTGGGTTGATACTATTTGAGATGAATTATCCTTTCTTTGGCTCTTTTCTAGTCATGGTGCTTTGATACATAATTTTAGTTAAGCAACTGTATACTCTTTCTGTAACATTCTGGGCTCATGGAAGTTTAAAAGTATGATGGACAAATGAAATGCTTACACTTGCTTATTCAATATCTTTTCCTATTGGATTTGCATGAAGTCTTACCTAGTGGAACTCACTTATAATGAAACCTTTTTTCCTCTTTATGTATTATATTTAAAACAGCTATTTGAGTAGATAATTCTGTGCCTTCCATGATAAAGTTAGTGGGTTTCTTTTTCACTTCAAAAAAGCGCTTTTAGTTTTGAGTTTTCTATGAACAAGTTTCAGTAAATATATATATATATATAAAACATGTATTATATATATATATATTTAAATATATTTTAAAACAATTGTTCATAAGGTTCATAATCTTTTTCTATCTCAAGGCACATTTTTCATGATTTGCAAAATATCTGACTTTTCCCTTATACTGTGACTATAAATTTTGAAAACTCAGTTTTCAAGAGCTATCAGGAATATTTTAATAGAAATAAACTTGTTAATTTTTGCTCTTTATTTCTTGGACAAGAGGGTCAAGATGGCTTAAGATTTCTGTTCTTTAAAACAGAATTCATGAAATCACCTGTTTTAAGCTGAAGTACAAATGAGTTTCTTTGATTCCTATCTGTTTACTACATTAAACATGAAATACTACTGACCTCTCAACTCAAAATACACACTTAAGTGTATATAGGACATGACAAAAGGCATAAATATTTTACTCAACTGTAGTTTATAAAGAAATTTAAAAATTTGACTCTTTCGTATTGCCCTTGAGTTCAAGTGCTCTTGCAAATCTAATTATGTAATATGTAAACTGTTTAAACTGCATTTGACTTATCTTCTATAGTTGACTAAGGAAAGAATACTTTAGGAAGTGCCAACTCATTAGGGAACATCTGATGAATATTTTTCACTTCGACTGAATGACTTTTTACATGGAGATATATGCCACCATAAATGAAATATCACTATGAGGGACTCGGACTGACCTTTGCCAAAAATTAATTGCGTTCTCACACAGAGACAAAATCTCCCCGGACCTCCGCCCCCATCCTACATCAAGATGCAAGATGCCACGCTTGGCTTTCAGAGGATATACAGGTATTCAGAGGACACAGGGAAGTAGGCCAGTCAGAATTTCCTGCTAGGTCATCTGGTGAGTTCTAAGTATCGCTCAGTATTTGCTTGAAAATTTCCAGAGATGAGCAACTTATTACAGCCTTAACCTTCAAAGAATTAAAACCCAAGTGGAAAGGATTAGGGAAGCACAAATCCCTCTGCTTCTAGGCGACAGTACTGAAAATGAATACAGAGGGTACAATAAAAATAACTACTGAGTTTAGAGATGGCCCGCTGCATTTCACAAAGCGCTCTCACCCAAAGGCAGGGCCTATAGAGAGGTTCCGAGCCCCGGCTGTCCAAAAGGGGGCGAAATCAAATCTGGACGAGGGTGGGCATCTGGAAAAATTGCACGGTGGAGACCGCATCGGAGACGGGCCTCGAAGCACCCACAGCGTTGCGCACAGGGGAGAGGACACTCCGGATGGAAAGCTCCCCGCCTGTTCTAAAGGCAGTCACACCAGGGGGCCCATTCTACCAGCCAGGTTTTTAGAAGACCCCTGCAAATGCAGGGGTCCGACCTAGGAGGCATTTCCGCTGTGCATTTGGCTAAGTTTGGATTTGACGAGCGCATGGGGGAGCTAGGGCTCACGCAGGTGGGCACTCTCTCCCTTCCTTAGCTCTCCTGACTCTCCACGAGACGCTCCCACACGACAAAGGATGCCGCTCCCCCGCAACAGATTCCGGCACTCCGGAGCGGCGCTGCAGTGTAGAGACCCGGGTCCCGCCCAGCCCCAGGGAGGAGGCGCAGCGCCCAGCTCACGCACCGGGCTCTGCGAGCCGCTTCCCGCCCGCTCCCTCCCGCGGCCGCGGCGGCGGCGGCGGCGGCAGCGGCCCGAGCGCGGGGCGGGCGAGGGGGCGGAGCCAGGGAGGAGCGGTGACGGCGGCGGCCCCGGCGGCGGCGGCAGGTGTGGATCGGGTGGAGGTGCGGGGTATCCGCTCGCGCCCGCGCGCACTAGAGGCCGGGAGTCTGGGTTCCGGGCGGCCTCCCTGAAGGTGCTTCGCGTGCGGCTTCGACCCGCGCACAACTTGGGGCACGGGCCAGGGACGCGCTGGTTCCGCGTCCGGCGCCGAGAGAAGACGCGCGGACCGGGAGGCGACCGGAGGGCGGCGGAGGCTGAGGGGAAGCAGGATGCCGCCCCTGTTTGGGCCCCCTTCCCGCCCCCGCGAGGCCGCGCGGAGCTTCAGCGTCCCAGCCCTACCGGCAGGTAAGCGAGGAACGCGCGGGAAGCCAGGCGAACTCCCGAGTTGAGAGGGAGCTTCGGGGCCTGGCACACGGCAGTGCGCGCCCGGGTCCGAGGGCCGCCGGCGCCCGAGCGAGGATGCTGCGGCTGGGTCCGGCGCTTCCCGGGGCACCGCGGCCCTGGCTCTGCGCAGAACCGCCGCCCCCTCTCGCCCACATAGCAGGTTGTTACCCTGGCAGGATCTCCGAAGTCCCAGGTTCTTCGCTCTCTTCCCCTGAACCGCGAAGAAGGAAATATGTGGGTCCAGGGGCGAGTGCGGAGCGAGAGCTTTCAACCAGTGATGTTTCACGACAGCCCAATTGCTATTTAAAATTACTGCCGCTTTACAACTTAAGCGGCTTTCCCCTCTTAGAGTGAAGAGAAGTTGAGCGTGTATATTACATCCCCTCCTGGTAGGATTCGAGTTTGTTTTCGCCACATACAGGTGGGAAGATGATGCGTTGTAAATCCTGGCGTTTCCAGCAGTACTTCACTGCTGGAAGAACCAGCGATCCTACAGCGAGACAATGGCTGTCGGGAAAAACATGAAAGAGACGTTCGTTTAATGCCGCTTTGGCAGGGGAGAAGTTAAGGAAAACTTGAGCGTAAGTGACCTGTTAATCGGCTTCTTGCGGGACCGTTTTTGTTCCCGCGTAAGTGGTATTAGGACCACGAGTGACAGCCCAAGACCTACACTTGGGTTGGAGTTAAACACTTGGGGCTGTGGTTAAACACCCCCCCATCGTCAGGGACCTCTAGTTTCTGGAGTCGGGCCTTTCAGCTTTGTTCATTGAAATCTAGGCAGCTTTGAAGTGAATTAGGAAAATGATCCTATCTTTTTCCTCTGGAGTTTTTTTACCTCTGCATTAAAATTGTCCATTTTCTCTCATGGACAAAAATATGAACAATATTCTGCCTTATATTTTCTTTTAAATGAATGTTGCTTGAATCCGTAAAAATTTGATTCGAAATCGACAGCCAAGTTTAGATTTAGGTGTTGTGGAGTTTTGTGTTTGGCTGGGGAAGGGACTGACTTTTAAATTATTATTCAAGCCTAATACTGCTTATTTTTCACGGTCTCCAGACATTAATCCGTAAGTGAAGGCCTTTATCTTGATTTTAAGAGATATAAAAGTAACAGTGGTTTGAGCCTGTGCATAAAAACTATTGCCGCCCCCACTTCTTTTCTTAATTTGTGATTGAGCCTCATGAAAGTTGAACAACTTCCTTAACTTAGGGTGTGAAAACCGCTGAAGTAGAATTTTAGGCCCCGAAATGAAAGTTTTTTATTTGTGTTTATCTTCGTTTAATTATCAGACTTTATGGAATTATCAGCATGTGATGTTTATCTTTATTTATGCCATATTAGGACTTTGTTGTACGTGCGGAAATATTGCCTACATAATAGGTAAATGTGGGGAACCCTCAAGAAGCTCCTTTAAAAACTACACTAGGTGAAGTTTTATAGCTCTGAAAAGCCTGCATCAGACACAAAGCTTGGACTGATAATGTAAACTGTTGGTTCTTTTTGAAATTTTAAATAGATGATTAAGAAGGGAGGTATAAAATGCTTTATACTTAGCATGTTTTTTAAAATGCAAGTGGGAAGAAAAGTTAAGGGTATTATTTTTGTATAGTGTAATAACTGGATAACTATTTTAGAAGCTCTAGAATGCTTGAGGAAATAAAAGGTAGCATAAAATTATGTATTTGTACATTTAGAACTTCAATGAGAATGCATACTTGTAAATCTCAAATGCTCAAGTGAACAGTATTAAACTGAATGAAATAGAATTTTTCTGCATATGATTTTTGCTCAGATTAAAAAATATTTATCTTGATTTGCCTTAAAATCTAAGTTATAGTTACATTTTGTTGGTAGCTATTTGGGATAATTCCAAGTGCTTTAAATCATTTACATTGATAGTTTTCTTTATTAATAGATTTGTAAGATGTCTTTTACTTAGGACATTGATACTTAATGACAATAGGTGTCATTAAATTTTTTATATAATTTACATTGCCACAGTTTTTCTTCATTTAGTGTATCTAGGTAGTTGTAACATATAAACATCTGTGGGGTCCCACCAAATTTAAGCTGTAAGAAAGAAGTAGATTAAATTCCTGATTAGTAGCATTTCAGGATTGAAATCTAGCTTTAAGACCAAATGGCTTTCTGAAGACATTTTAGAATACATATATGATTTTTAGAGTTCTTTTCTAGTTCTTTGAAATGTTAAATTAGCAAAAGAATCAATAATTGTATTTTAACAGCTTTTTCATGTATTTAATAGATTATTTCTTTAGGAATAAGGCTCCCAAGTGTTTTAAACATTTGTATGAAAACAAGAAAGTCTGTTTTTTGTTAAAACGTATTTCTATAGATTAGGGAAAAAAAAAACCCAACTTGTTGAGTCTAGAGTAGGTTACTCTTAAATAAGAAACGATGAAATGTGAACTTTGTACTCTGAAATGTATTTCCACTTGAGTACTTTAAAATTTTGTCCTCTTTTTAAAAACCTTTGTATAGAAAGTCAATCAGTTCTTGCACTGGTGCAGTATAAGTTCCTTAATGTGTTTGCTTTATTCAAGAGTATGGAGACTTTTTTCTCTGTATCTTAAGAGTGAGTAGTCCAGGCAATTATCAAAATATTTTTGGTGAGGATTGGAATGAAGGGGGCTGGAAATCCAAGCATGATTATGGTGCACATGTGTGTTGATTTGCAGCAAGGAAAGGGTGAAAAAGAAGAGTTTGGGGTCAGAATTTATACACATCAATCAGATTCCCTAGTGCTTGCTTCTTCATTGTCTAATTGACTTTTTAGCCAATATATTGTTACTGAGGTTAAAATACACAGTGGACACCAAAAAATACAAACTGGTTTGAAAATCCTTTCTCATGGCTTGATCAAATATTATCTACATACCACTTTCCAAGCTATTCAGCAGTTGAGGACAGTTTATAAATTAAATGTATTATAAAAGTTAAATAATTTCCATTTGAGAGAAATGCCCCTTTTGAGGGACTTACTTTTTAAAATCACAAATAGCACCAATCCTTTGAGTAAAGTAAGAATGGTTATGTTAATTACAAATTATATTTTTAGAAAGGGAAAATGTAAGTTTTATTGGCCTTGGGGGCATTCAGTTTGTGGCCCAGTTTCCATTTCTCTACCTGCCCTGCCTCTTATAAAGCATCGGGTACTGAGAGAGGAAAGACTGTGAGGAGAAAATTAATGAAACAAGCTATGTGGGCTGAGCATAGTTTTGCCCTGTAAGCCTGTGTCCACATGAATTCAGAACCAGAAGAGAAATTCTGAGAGTCAGATTCCCCACTGTCCTCTTACACTGATTCCAGTGGCAGGAAAGGGAGTAGCCGTCCTCTGCCATTTGCAAAGCCAGCTTCAGATCCACAGCAGATCAAACCCACACAATCTTTTAGTCTTGTCCAGTTCAGCCCCACTTCCTTGCCAAGGGCATAACAGCTGAAGTTAAAAGACTTACATTCAAACAAGAAAATTAGTGCCATTTGTGTATAGGCAGTAGCCTTGTTCAAACTGCTTTCAACCTTAATTGGAAAGAAAAAAAAAAAAAACCCCAGAATATTATTTGATTATAAGTTTTCCAGGGTAGTATGCAGGAGACCGTGGCTTAAGAATGCAGTTAGGTTTTTCACTTATCTTGAATTACTTATGGTTTACATTGTAGTTCTCTGGTTTGTGTGTGTTTTGGGGTGGGGTGGGGGTTACAATTTGAAAGTGGTGAAAAGTACAATAAAATGGTACATTTTAACATGACCGAGATGATATAGCACTGGTACGTAAAAGCTGTTCCAGTACTGCTGAAGTAATTCTCTGTTGGACTTTCTTCCTCATGTTGTAAATATAAGTTCTTTGCTTAGAAGTAATCCTGATTCTGAGAAGAGTGGCAGGAAAGGACAGAACTATGGCTAAAAACCAGTGTCATCTGACATGGACATTTTAAGTTGTCTTTGTCAAATTTCAGGTGAACTTTAGCCTCATTAATAAACTGGATATGTATAAAATAAGATAAATCAGCTCAGAAAGGCCTTTATCAGAAACTTGTGTGTGTGCTTTTCTAGTTGATCTAAATATGACATCCGGTGATCAGTAAAGACCAATTATTATTAGACATTTGAGGTGAAACTATTTTGGAGTTTAAAAGTTGAAGCAAGTAAAGAATTGGTCCCCCTCACAAAGTCAAACTGGTAAAATCTTTCTAAGGTAAAATAGCCCGAGATTTGTGAATTACAGTGCATGTTCGAGTGAAAATTCAAGTCATAAAATCATTATTAAATAACCCTGTGGGGTTCTGGTAGTTTTTTCCTTGTTTAAATGTGACCTTTTACCTATCATCTCAACTTCATTAACTTTAAAAAAAGTCTCAAGAAACAGTAAGACTAAAGTAATGAAGGGTGTAAGAGCTCTTTGTTGTAAAATCTATGTAGAGTGAATGAAAAGCCTTATTAAAATAGCATTTAACTGACTTTTAACTAGAATGGATTTTCAAGTAACTAACTGGTAATACTGTCACTTGACATTTCCTTTAAATGTTCTGTGCTATTAACTCAAAACTGATTTCCTTTTTATAGGTAAGAGTGGAACTCTATTAAATTTAAAAAAGCAGAAGAAACAATTTATAGCTTACAACCTGACTTCTAATAGTTTAAAATACTGCTTCTGCTGCATGTTGGCCAGCACCCTAATAATGATAAGATTCTATGTTGTTTTATTATTTATTTTTGTTTTTTGAATTAGGATTTTTTAATGAAAAGAGTAACTTTAATTTCCTTCTTAAGTGAATATCTTTGTGTATTAACTGTCAGTTATGACACCCAATAGTTTGAATTGTAATTTGAAGTTAAAAAACTTATAGGTTAGTACCTGGACTAATGTGTGCTAAGTAGCATTTTAATTGCTTCTAATAATTGAATAATTAAAATTTTATCATAGCTCTTTAATATC